GCAGGGAGCCCGATGTGGGACTCGATCCAGGGACTCCAGGATCATGACCTGAGCCGAAGGCAGTCGCTCAACCAACTGAGCCACCCAGGCGCCCACCACCATTTCACTCTTAATCACTTTTTTCCTCTTTAATGAAATGCATAATTATTTACTGTATTATGTCATTATTATCTAGAAAGAAAACATAAATTTAATCCTTGTGCTTATGTTTTTTAATCCTATCTACATTTACTTTAGTGTTTATAAATCAAATCAGATTAACACATTTTGAAGATTTTATTAGGCATAGCACCATCTAAGGTTATTTGGCACTGTGAGAAATAATAAACAATCATCCTGTCCTCAAGCAGCTTGAAACTGGTTTGGAAAAAAAAAAAAATTAAAATTATGTGGGAATGTAATTCCAAGAGAATAAGAATCATATTGCAGTTTAAATAAATGTTTTTAAAGATAAATAATCATTAATATAACATGAAAGGCATAGAAAAGCTCAGAGTGGTGTCAGCAAGATAATGGAATAGGAGGTTTTAACCCTCAACTCCCAACAGAAACACTGATTTGAATAGCTGCCCACAAATAAAAATAAGTTTATGGGAGTCCAGGAGTCCAGTTGAGAGATTCAAGCACTTCACTAGAGCAAAAATCCAAGAATAGATGCAGGTAGAAGGTAAGAAAAAAATGTTTCATTTTATCTGTGTCACCCCTCCCTGAATGTGGCACAGCTCAGGGGCAAGAGAGACCCGCCTGACCAGTGATTTCTCCCACAGGGGAAAGTGAATGCTAAGTGAGTGCCTGGCTTCCCCAGTCTTGTGGGGCACCGAGCAGAGGCACAATTCTACTATATAGCATAGTGTCTATCACCAATAATATTGTAGTTAACACTTAAAAGAGGGTAGAAGCTATACTGTGTTCTTATCACACATGCAGACACCAATCCTGTCTTTTCTCACCCAGCAAATGGAGGGAAACAGAATGCCTCCATTATTTGGGGTAGTTTGCAACAGTGGGGGAAGGAGAGAACACTCCCAAACTCATTTTATAAGACCAACATTATCTTGATACCAAAGCCCGTCAAGGGAAAGAAAGAAAAGAAGAGAAAAGAAAAAAAAAAAAAGAAAGAAAGAAAAAATTACAAGATAATATTACTGGTAGATATCCAAAAATCCTCAACAAAATGCTGGCAAGTTGAAATCATCAGCACATTAACAAGATCATAAACATTGATCAAGTGGGATTTATCCCTGAGATGCAGGGATGATTCATCATTTGTAAATCAATAAATGTAGCACACTGCATTAACAAAATGAAGGATAAAAATCATACGGTCATCTCAATAGATGCAGAACATATGACAAAATTCAACATTTGTTCTTGATAAAAACTCTCAGAAAGTTTGGTATAGAAAGGATATAACTCAACATAGTGAAAGCCATATATTAAAGTCCACAGCTAACATCATATTCAACAGGGAAAAGCAGATGATTTTCCTCTAAAATCATGAACAAAATAAGGATACCCACTCTTGCCACTCCTATTCAGCATAGTACTCAAAGTCCTAAGCAAAGCAATTAGACAAGGAAAAGAAATAAAAGTTAACTAAATTGGAAATTAAGATGCAAAATTATCAGTTTGCAGATGACATGGTTTTATATATTTAGGAAACCTTAAAGACTCCTCTAGAAAACTGTTAGAACTAATAAGTTCCATAAATTTGTAGGATACAAAATCAACATACAATAATCAGTCACATTTCTTTGCACTGACAACAAGTGTTCAAAAAACAAATTAAGAAAACAACCCCATTTATAATAGCATCAAAAAGAATGAAATATTTAATAATAAATTTAACTGAAGAAGTGAGCTATCTGTATATTGAAAACTATAAACCATTTATGAAAGAATTTGAAGAAGACACAAATAAATGGAAAGGCATCTCATATTCATGGACTGAAAAAAAATTTTTTTTTTTTAAGATTTTATTTATTTATTTGATGGAGAGAGAGAGACAGAGAGAGAGGGAATACAAGCAGGGGGAGCAGGAGAGGGAGAAGCAGGCTTCCCGCCGAGCAAGGAGCCCGATGCGGGGCTCGATCCCAGGACGCTCGGATCATGACCTGAGCTGAAGGCAGATGCTTAACGACTGAGCCACCCAGGTGCCCCTGAAAAAATTAATATCGCTACAATGTCCATACTACTGAAAGTGATCTACAAATTTTTCAATCCCTATCAAAATTCTAATGGCATTTTTCAGAGAAATAGAAAAACAATCTTAAAATTCATATAGAACCACAAAAGACCCTGAATAGCTAAAGCAATCTTGAGAAAGAACACAGCTACACACATCACATTTCTTGATTTCAAATTATATTACAAAGCTATAGTAATCCAAACAATATTGCACTGGCATAAAAACAGACATATAGACCTATGGAACAAAATAGACACCTCAGAAAAAAAAAAAAAAACACAAATAGATAGCCAATTGATTTTTCACAAGAGCTCCATGAATACAAAATGGGAAATTATAGTCTCCTCAATAAATGGTATTGGGAAAATGACATCAACATGCAAAAGAATGAAAGTGGACCTATATCTATCATAAACAAAAAACAGCTCCAACGGATTAAAGACTTAAATGTAAGACCTGAAACAGTAAAACTTTTAGAAGAAAACAGAAACAGCTCCTGGACATTGGTCTTGGCAATATTTTTTTTTGCATACAACACTAAATCACGTCAACAAAAGCAAAAATAAAGTATGATTACACCAAACTAAAAAATTTCTGCACAACAAAGGAAACTATCAACAAAATAAAAGGCAACCTACATAATGGGAAAACATATTTGCAAACCATATTATCTTATAATAGGTTAATATCTAAAATATATAAGAAAATCATACATCTCTGGAAAAAAACCCGAAATAACCAGTTGAAAAATGGGTAAAGAATCTGAATAAACATGTCACTAAAAAGGACTGATCTCCAAGAGAATCTTGAAGAGCACTACCATGTTCACTGCAGTATTAGTCACAAGAGCCAAGATATGGAAACAACTGTCTATGGATGAAAGGAAAAAGAAAATGTAGTATTTAATGTATCTTTTAATTGATATATATATTTATAGATATATTTATATGGATTTAAATTTATATATTTATATGGATATATATCTATATGGAATATCATCCAATCTTATAAAAGGAAATCTGCCATTTGCAACAATGCAGATGGACCTGGAGGACATCATAATAAGTGAAATAAGCCACAAAGAAAAAGACAAGTACTATATGATATCACTTATATGTGAAGTCTAAAGTAGTCAAACTCAAACTGAGAGTAGAAAGTGATTACTAGGGGCCACGGGAGGAGAA